ATTCTCCAGATGCCGAGGACTGTGTGATATGTCTTTCGGAGAAGTCGAATCGGGCCGTAGTTCTGCCTTGTATGCATACATTCTGTTTCGATTGCATACATCGCTGGTTTTCAATCAACCCTCTCTGCCCTCTCTGCAAGCGCCTTGGACATCGGCTCCTTCACTCAATTCGTTCGGATGCACAATATGCCGAGCTGCTGGTAGCTGACATCGCTCCGGCGGCCGGCCTGCTTGGACCCCCGGATGGTATTTCCTCTTCGGCATTTGGTCCAAGTGGGCCTGCTTCTGCTGCTTTCACTGGTCAGCCACATACACACCATCATTATCATCACCTCCACCATCACCACTTCCATTATCGCCGCCCATCGCTAGTCTTCGGTCATGAATTTGACGGTCCAGGTCCAGCTGCCGACTCAGGACCACCTGCTTCATTTTCACCCGCAGGCTTAACTCCTATGCCGACCAGCACCCACAGTCGGCGCCAGACCTCCGGCTCGACCTCTGCACAATTGCGGCCGTTCCTACTCTCCACGACTGCTGTTAACATTACATCCATTACAACCACCGCTACCACTTCTTTGTCATCACCTTCAGGCATCGAGGTCAGTTCACCTAGCCGATTTCTCACATCTTCTAGCAGTTTGATCGATTTTCTTTCTTCCCGAATGCCCTCCTCAATTCCGTATGTTCCATCTTCAGAGAGTCTTTTAACCCCGTCTTCATTCGCTTCATTCTCCCCGCCTGCTACGAATGCGGCTGCCTCTTGTGCAACAACATCTCTGTCACTGCAGCAGCAGCAAAATGTGATTTCCAGTACTTCCATTACTTCACCTTGCCTTGCCATTCCACTGGCAGCTGACCTTTCTCATTCCCTCATTCGTATGCAAACCGACATCTTGTCGTCAAACAGAAGCACTACTGATACATCAAGTCGAACCGCCCAGCAGCTCGTCAGGCCACTCACAGATGCACACCCTCCCCCTCTTGGCAGCTGGCTGTCTGCATCGCCCTATTTTCCCTCAGTTTCTTCTGAATCAAGAGATTCCACGTTATGGTCAACTAGTGTTAGGTGGGCCCTCTAAAAATGATGTATTTTATTAAATTTTCCTTCCTGTTTGCCTTGATTATTAATTTTTCAAGTGTATTGCTTTGTATTATGTCCAAAGGAAACCATATCTGCAAGCATCCATTTTCTGGTCTAATCTTGTAAGCAACTTAAAGAAAAGTCCCGGTATTTTCTTAGGCATTCAGATGCCCATTTTTTACTAAGTATTTTTCTAAACTTCTCACGGTCAGCTCTCATTACTAGTAGAAATACTTAAGGCCGATATTTTATCTTTTTTATATTTAATTTTGCTATATAGTTAAATCTTAATTTATAAATTATTTATTTAGTTGTACCATTCATCAATGAATTTTGGGCTGTTGATAATTATGTAAACCTCCCTTAATCTTTGCTTTCAAATAATTAGGAGACGATTTGCCACCACCAGTCGCATTCCATCCTCCCTTAGTTGGCAGCTGGTCGCTGATGCCATTTTGCCCTCAGAGCCATGGTCTATGGACGGGCTTCTTCTGCGCCAACTTGTCTACATCTATCCTCTTCATTCTTATGTCATGTAAGTCTTAGACTTATTTCGATTTCATATAGAATGTGGGATGAATATTAAACCTGTTTTATTTCACTACTTGCTAATAAAAGTAGTGTTGCTTTATTTTAGTAATTTTACTCTTTTTTGATTAGATTTCTTGATTTAAGTGGTTTAATTATTGATTAGTTATTTAGTAATTGATCAATTTATTGTTTTTTTATTTACTTATCTTATAATTGTTTACTTTCTTAGCTAACTTATGCGAACCCCTTCATAACTCAATTATTATAGAGTTGATACTAACTTCTGTTCCTTAAAATATCATAGGTGTAGCGTTATTAACTATGACTTAACCTTGTATTTGATTTTGGCTGTCTAAATCTTATTCTTATTTTAATCGGTGGAAATACACCTGACGATTTAATCTTATCTACTTTCTTGCAATAGAGAACGATTAGCTGTCATGTAGATTTTCTATATTATCAAATATTATTTTGAATAAAACTGTTATCAAATTTATATTTCATGGTGCATTTGAGGAATCAATGAATTTAATTCACTTAAAATTCTCTTTTGTTCCAAGGGTCAGAAATTTATAGTCTGCATAGCAATATTGTTATGGTATGTTATGCCAATACTGGCATTGTTTGCTCATACTCCTTAAAATCTATAGCAAACTATAAATATAAGCGATAAATCAGGAATTTAATTTTCTAAATTGGATAGCGAGATTGACTTACTCGCGGGAGGTCTAAAGTAAAAATACAGGGTTAGAAATATTAAACAATGAATCAGGCCCTTCAAAGACTTATGCTGTTTCGCCCCCATGGCAGGGTTTAATTCTTTGTTGTTGGAGTAACTTTCATTTTCGTTCGAAGGTATGAAGAGCAGGATGGTGTGGCCTTTTGTGTGGTCGCAGTCTCCTTTCGTTGTATATAGGTTTTTTGACCTTATTTTCGCAACATGGTCATATTGGTAGGAAGACTTATTGGAACGCTCCTAGTCCGA